TATATTCAAATTTTAAAATAGGTTTTAAATTGATTGGGGTTTTAATTTGTCTGGGCCAAAACTATTTAATTTGATTTTAATTCCACTTTTAAATTTTGTATGTATGTATTTTATTGTTTGGCTGTGCACCGCCCTGAGTCCTTCGGGAGTAGGGCGGTATAGAAATCAAATAAAATAAATAAATAAATAAATAAAATAAAATAATTCTGTCCCTGTATCGCCAGCTCTTCTTTTCTTTTCCTCATTTCCTGAGATGGTGGACATCCAGCCTTTAATACGTTAGTATAAAAATCTTTTGCCTTCCAAATTGTGTTAAGACGATACCTTTCTCCCATATAATTCACCACCAGTCCAGCTGGAACATCCCATCTAAGCTGAATCTGTCGATTTCTAAGTTCATCCACCAAGAAAGCAAACTCCTTTCTGCTTCTCAACATTTTGGGGGGAATTTCTTTCAACACTAAATCCTCTTGTCCTGCAATTTGAAGTTTATTTTTATAGAAAGCTTGTAAAATTTCATTTCGGGTCCTCCTCGTTGTAAAATAAATCACAATGTCTCTTGGCAATTGATTCTGTCTAGCAAACCAGGAATTAACATGATATATTTTGTCAATTTGCAATGAGAGATCTGCTTGTTGCTCCCCAGTTATCTTTGCAAAAGCCTCTGCAAAAATCTCTCTCAAGTTCTCTCAGACCTCTTACTCTCAGGGCAAATTCCATCGCTCTATACTGTAACATCACCACTTCATCGTCTGCCCTATCCACCTGATCTGAACTTCTATCTATTTTATTTTCCAAATTCAGATTGGACTGATTAATTTCTTCTACTCTTTCATCCAACAATTCAATGTGTTTTGCCAGACCCTGAAATGCCATTACTATATCTTCTCTTATTTCCTTATTCTGAATTTGTACAACTTCTTTAATTTCTGCCATCTCTTCAGACACTCCCTTAATTTTCCCCTCTAAAAAAGAAGTTTGTTGCTTCAAAGCCTCCTGGAGAGATTCCTATAAAACTTCCAAAGTCAGTATTTGTGGGTTTGAAGTAGACAAAGATTGTAGTTTTGATTGTTGTGCTGGAGATCCTCCAGCACTTTTAAAGCCAGATTTTATTTGCTTAGAAACCAAATCAATAAATCCAAATGTTTTTAAATCTTTTTTTAGTATTATAGTTTATTTAAAGTCCAAACTGTAGCCTTTCCACTTTAAATCTTTCTTTCTTTGGTGTAGAACCCAGCAATCTTAAACAGCCTTTGAAGCGCTAACGATGTTAAGTATCACTTTCACTATAACTTTCACTTTCACGCCCTGTTACAATTCAGGTGCCATTTTTGCTTTCGTTTTAAAAGTCTTAGAAGGAAGAAGTATAGACACAGAGTTAAAGTTCAGTACTTGCAGTTGCTAGGACTCCTGTTTTTGTTCTGCCTGCTTTAAGCTTATTTTGAATCTGAATGTTGATTGCAGGGGTGGTCGCGGCGTCTTGTTCTGCTTGAAGCAGAAAAGCCTCGGATTTGGAGGTCAGTCGAACTACCAGGGAGCTCTCACCCTCCAAGTCCCAGAATTACTCCTAGGGCTTTTGGGGAGCTCTACCTTTGTCCGGCTGCTCGCCTTCCTCTCTTCTCCCAAGGGGAAGGTTTCCAAGCCACGAGACAGCTGATTTGTGCTGTCTTGGCATTTTTAACGAAATCGTGGGGCTGGCAGTCCAAGAGGAGCGTCTGTCAGCGCCTGCGGTGCCACTGGAAGTTGACAGATCATTGATAGGGGGAGCCCCCGCCACGCTCCTTACCGAATCAGTGAGGCTAGAGATGGGCAGTACTGGGAAAACATCCACATCGTGGTGGCGCCAAAATCTTCACCAAAGTAGACATACAAGAGGCATATTTAAAGAGTGAGGATTAAAGAAGGGGACAAGTAGAAAACTGCATTTAATTGCCCCCTCAGGAGTTTCCAATTTAAAGTCATGCCCTTTTGGCTGCAGGGCTTCCCTGCATTATTTATGCAGCTGATTAATGAGGTGCTATATGAACACCTATACAAGGAGGTCCTTGTATTCTTAGATGACATTCTCATCTTCACTGAGACACTGGAAGAACACATCAAACTGGTGTGCCAGGTGCTCAAGAAATTCCTAGCGGTGAACCTATGTACCAGATTGTCTTAAGTACAAGTTCCATAAGCCCAGCCTAAACTACTTAGGATATTGTGTGTCCAGTGAGGAGATAGAGATGGACCCAGGGAAAGTCAAAGCCATCCTGGACTGGCAACCTCCTCAAACCCGCAAACAGCTCCAAAGCTTCCTGGGGTTCGCTAATTTCTACAGACAGTTTATCCCCTCCTTTGCTGAGATCGTCCTCCCAATCATCAAACTACTAAAGATGGGAGGGGGAGTGAAACCACAGCCAGGTCAGCCCCTTAAATGGACCCTGAATGCCAAAAGGCAATTGAGATACTCAAAAGACTATTTGCCAAAGAGCCGATCCTTAAGCACCCAGACCTGGACCAAGTATTTGTTATCCAAGCGGATGCCAGCGATGTAGCGGTGGCTGCAGTCCTCCAAAAAAATGCAGAGGAGAACCTTCAACCATGCGCATACACCTCCAGAAAACTAACAGAGACTGAAAGGAGGTAGGAAAAAGAAGCATACACAGTCCGCTGGGCTCTGCTGACCTGGCACCTGGCTGAAGGGAGCCAAGTGCCATTTGAAGTATGGACGGACCATAAGAACTTGGAGGCACTTAGGACCCCGCAGAAGCTCTCATCAGAACAGATCCAATGAGCGCAGTACTTCAGCCGCTTCAATTTCACTTAAAATACATCCCAGGGGGAAGAAATCTTTTAGCTAACACTTTGTCACGAATGCCACAATACAACAGCAAGCGTGAAGAGGTGGTCCACACTATGATGCCTCCCCCCACCCCCAGCAAGCCAAACAAGTCACAACCAGGCAGCAGAGGCGGACAATTGACAAGGGAGCAGGTTTGACTCAACAATTAAAAACTGAGCTGACCACCGATCCATGGTAGTGGGACAACAAGGAGCTACTAACCCTCAGAGATAGACTTGCCTGGCAGGGCTCTAAACTGTATGTCCCCAACAACCTGCGGCTACTGCAAAGGAGCCAGCAAGCAGGCAAGCCACTTCGGCTTCCTGAAAACCCTGTGCTTGGCCAGGAGGCAATTTTGGTGGCCAAAGATGAAAGGAGATATTGAGGACTATGTCAAGAGCTGCACTACATGTGCCACAATGAAAAAATGACCAGGGAAGCTCCCAGGACTGCTCCAACAAATAGCTGACCCTTCCTGGCCATGGGAAGAAATAGCCATGGATTTTATAGTAGAGGTTCCTGAGAGTGGGGGAAGTACGGTCATCTGGACAGTGATTGACCTCTAAGCAAGCCCACTTTGTAGTGTGCTCCTGTCTTCCATCAGCCCACAAGCCGGCCAAACTATTCATAAAGCAGTTTTATAGGCTGCACAGAGTTCCTAGGAGAATTATCTCCGACCGGGGGGTCCAATTTATAGCCAAATTTTGGAGGGAGTTTATAAGGTCCATTGCTTAGCTCTGCTCCATCCGAGCATTAACAGAGCTGCAGAACACGCGAACATAATGGTAGAACAATACTTAAGATGCTATGTTAATTATCAACAAACCAATTGGCCAGACCTGTTACCATTTGCTGAGGTAGCATACAACAATGTAGTGCACAGCAGCACCGGGCTAACCCCTTTCCAAATCACTAGTGGCATGGAGTTCGTCCCCATGTCGAAACTCCCTAGAGAGCTATCTTCCTCCATGATCTTAAATGAATGGATGGTGTCACTGAGGACAGCAAGGGAGAACATAAAACAAGCCCTTCAGAAGGCTGCAAAAACCCAAAAATTGCAAGCTGATAAACATAGGTCCTCCCAACCACCCTTTAGAATAGGGAGTAAGGTTTACCTCTCCACCAAGTATTTGAGACTAAAACTACCCTGCAAAAAGCTAGGACTCAAATTCATAGGCCCCTTTCCCATCATGAAGATTATTAATCCTGTCACGGTGGAATTGAAGCTTCCCTGCCTCCTGTGGAAAGTGCATCCCGTCTTCCACCGCAGCCTGTGAAAGCCGGTAATCAGGTCTCAGCTGAGGGCAGTAGACCAGGCTGCCCCAAAGCCAATCGTAGTTCAGGTAGAAACACATTATGAGGTAAAGCGAATCCTGGACTCCAGACTCTGTAAAGGAAGGCTCCAATACCAAGGGGTACCCGTTGTCCAAAGCCATCTGGGTAAAGAGCTGGGATGCAAAAGCAGATAGAGTAACCAATTTCACAATAAATACCCTCAAAAGCCAAAGGCACCTCTGGGGAAAGGGAGGGGTGGATGATTGAAAATCTAATTTCTTTCCATTTGAATTTTTCAGGAAATTCTCTCCAATTAAGAGGGGGAGGTCCGACTGTCAACTCTGAAGCAAACCTGGCTGAAGCCATCTTGTGCTGCCTCACAGTTGCCACAAAGCCTGAGAAAGAACGGGAGGGGGAAGTAGATACCCCAGCTTACAGTCAAAATAAAAAAAATTCCTGTGAGAACCAAGGTCATCATAACAGGTGGCTGGTTAAGGAGGAGAGAAGCCTGCCAGCTATATTCATTGGATAATGTGACTGATGACACTGGGAGGGGGGAAGTTTTATTCTTTTAATTAGGTGAAAACCGCTGGAACTTTCAGAGTTGGTTTTCACCTCCTGTGCTGATATGATGTATCCAATAAACATGTTCTTTGAGGAATCTACCTGCCTCGGAGTTCTGATTTCAATGGGTGCATTACTCGAAACCCTGACAAATGGCATAAGCAATTGTGTTGGAATGCAGGAACAGAAATTGTTTTGGAGGAAATTGTTTCTAACAACAGCAAAATTTCACTAAGAAGAGCACTGGATCCAATCCATTTTATAAATAATTATAAATGAAGCTGTCAGTATTTGAACTAAAGATGACTTAACAATTTGTCCCTTTTTTGTCTTGCAGAGTATTGAAAAGTTGTCTTCAAAAGAAATGAAAGTCAATCAAAGCAAAAATGGAAATAAAGTTGTTAGAAAAATTGCAGAATTGGGACTTTCACTGGAGGAAAATAAAAGTGAAATCAAAGTTGAAAAGGAACACAAGAGAAGAACGTCTGCCTCTTTCCAATTGGAGGTTATCCAGCCAGATGTTGAAGGAAAATCTCAATTTGAAATGGCAGAGGCCAGTCTAGAAGAGCCTCAAAAGCAAAGGAATGTACTTAAAAATGAAAAACATATTAAAAAAGATGAGTCAGAAACACCAAGTGTTAAGAATGTACTGAAGAAAGAGGCCAGACCATCAAAAGATAAAAATGAAAACAAAGAAGACAAATCATTAATGAAGTATAAATGTAAAGGAGATAATGTTCAGAAAACAAATGAAAATGTTGAAAATGTACCATCTGAGAAGAGCATGAGAAATGAAGAAACTGTTGTGAAAAATAGTCAGCTAGCAAAAGTTTTGCCTGATGATAAAACTGAAAAGAAAAACAAGCATAGAAGTGAAAGAAAGGCTTCCATGAACAGCAAAGAGATGAAAACCACTTCAGAAAAAAATGAGATTATACGTAAAGAGAACAACAGAAAAGAGAGGCAACTTTCCACAGAGAAATTGAAAGCAGAATACAAATCCAGGAAGTTTCCAAATGATTCTAGGCCACCAAAAGAGTCACAAAGTGCCTCAAAGACTCATGTTTCTTCCCTAACATCAAAACGAAATGAAGAAGAAAAGCATGATGCAGAATCATCCAATTTGGATCATATTTTGCGGCAAGGTGATAATTTACACAAAGTCAGGCGAAGATCAAAGAATGGCTTAGAAGAAAGGATCGTATTAAAACCGATGTCCAAGAGTTACAACAAATCAGCCAAAGTACCTGAAAGTGAATTACAAGAAAGTTTATCTAAGCAGGAATCCGTGCAGAAATTGGACAAAGATAAACATTCAGAAGAGAGTGATCCAGATAAACAATCTAAGTTCAAACAGGAAATGAAATTTTTTGAAGAAAATTCCACTGAGTTGGAAATTGAAAGTGAAGCACATTCACTTAGTAGTTTCCAAAAAGATGCTAATCATAAAGTTAAGGGGCAGTTGGGAGAAAAAATAAGAGAGAGAAGTAAAAATGATAAATATTTGAGTACTTCCAGACTGGAAAGGAGATTGTCAGCAGATAATCACAAAAGCAAAAATTTTAAGCATAATAACAAGGACATGAAAAAGAAAGAAGATGAGGGCAAATCAGAAGACAAAGGCATTAAAGAAGTAGAAAACAATGCAAAGATGCCAGAAAATCTGCACACAAAGAAGCCTATTAAAAGATTAAATAATGAACATCAAAAGGTGAATACATCAACTCAAGAAATAGATACGAGAGAGGAAAAAATACCAGCTGTCACAAACCCTTTCATTTCTTTTCAAAAGACTACTGGGCACTTACTGTATTCTGATCAAACCCAGGAGCCAATTGAGGAATATTACAGTGATATTCATAATCAACAAAGCCAAATTGAGGAAGAAAGCAGTAACAATTTACAGGGAAAAGCCGAATTGAAAAATATTGTCAAAGACCAAATACATCATCATTTAAGGTCTGAATTCAATACAACATTGTATTCAAATTTCAGTAACTCTGAAGGAAAAGTGGAATTTTTTTCTACTAAGGAAGTAAATATATCAAGTGGCACCTTCAGGCAGATTCCAAAGGATTTAAATTGTTTTGAAAAAGAACAGCATCATGTAAATGCTGCTTATGAAGAAACTGATCACGTTTTACCTGATGCTGCTCATGAAAATGAAAAATTAAAGTTTCATGGAATGACTGAGGATGGTCATAGTCCAAAGAATCTTACAAGTAGAGGTCATCAAATTTGGAAAAGTAGTTCTTCAATAAAGAGTTTAACAAGGGAATGTGCACATCAAAAATCTATGGATGTAGATCTTCCAGAAATCACAGAGCCTTCAAATAATGGATCTAAAGAGGGATCTTTGAATAGATCTTGTGCTAAATATACCATTTCAGATAGTCAAACCCTTGCTGTTAAAATGAAATTTTATGATAACATCGTGCTCAATACAAACCTGAAAGATGATACTGCCAATATAAGAATTAAAAATTCAGAAGACACAATACATTTACCTTCTAAACTAATACCTAGAAAAGGGATAAGTTCTGTAGCAGGCATTCAGGAAGTTACTAGGCAAAAAAGAACTGGAAGTGCATCAACTAGTATTTTAGAGAATGATAATCTCATAGGCTCAGAAGCAGCATCTACAAATAGAAGTGCAAACAAATATGTTTTAATCAATTTGGAGAAAGTAGAAAAGGATCATTTCAGTGAGGATATTGCAGAATACAAACTGAAAACAGACAAAAATCAGAGTATTAGTAATTTAGTAGAATTATCTTCAGGTTCAGTGCCCAAGAATGTTCCAGAAAAAAAAATCAAAGTATCTGCACTCATCAAAGGAGGAAATGATATGAAAGAAGTTGCTGAAGATAATAATGAAAGCAGTGTAGTAGGCAGTAGTGTAGAAGGTATCCATTGCATTGTTAGTCACAGTAGCATGGAAACTGATGCAAATGTTATAGGAACTAGCACAGAAAGACCTACTGGGAACCCTTCCATAGCTGATAGTATTAGAGAAAACCATGGAGATGAAGACGTGTCAAATTTGCTAACCGAAGGTGAAGCCATCATTACTTGCTCAGAAGAACAAAGAAAGGCTCATTTAAGTTGTGCAAGTATAGAAGCAGATGAAGGTTTCACTTTGGGCCCTTGGATCAAAAGTAAAGAAAATGCCCATTCTGTAACAGAAAAAGCAATTGGTGAGTGGACTGTCACAACGGCTGAAGAAAGTGGTGCTGTTATGGAAGAGCTTGCAATATGTGAGAGTTCTTCAACCAGTAGAAAGGAAAGAGAAAGTGGTGAATGCACTGTGAATTACGTAGAAGAAAGTACAAAGAAGGCAGTCAATGGAAGAAGAGATGAACTTGATCAAAGTGTGAATAGCTGTGTAACAGAAGAGAAAGATGATGCTGTAACCAGTGCAAGCTCTGAACAAAAATGTATAGCTTCCAACTATGTTGATATAAGCAAATTTGATGGCGGTGCCACCTGCACAGGTGAAATAGAAAGTGATGGTGCTGTAACCAGTGCAGGTACTGAAGCTCAGAATCAGTCTATGATGGGTGAAAATCCAGATACCTTTCAGAGTAACTCAGTTCAATGTGAACAAGCTAAAGCAGCTGAGGGCACTGTGACTTGTACAGCTATAGAAACTGAGCACATTGGTTATGTTATTTGTTCAGTGACTGGTACAGATTCACAAGAGAATGCTGTAACTGGGCTTTGCCCTGAAATGGTAAATAATATCGCGACAATATCCCATGCTGATAAAAGTGAAGACATTGTAAATGGTGAGAGTGCTGTCACTAGCACAGGAATAATAGCAGAAGATGATCCTGCTTGTACTCTTTTGGAGGAAAACCAGAAAGGATTTGTAGGAGTCTCAGACCCAGGAGAAAAATATCAACTTGCCACAGACAGTACAGAAGTTAGAACTGAAACAAATGCTGTTGAGGTCAGTCAAGGGTCATATATTGATGATGAAGGTTGTGTAACCAGCACAGGTGAAAAAGAAGAGGATGAAGAAAGTGAAAATTTTGTAACTAGTACAGGAAGAGGCAATGAAGAAGCAGAACATGTGTTGACTTGTACAGGAACAGAAGAAAGTGGAATGTTGCTTATTAACATGGGAAATACAGAACATGAAAGTTCTGTCTGTCTATCTACAGATCAGCTTGGAACAGGGTTAGATGAATATTCTTTAAATGCAAATAAAAGTTCTATTGATATTATGGCATGCTTATCAAAAGAAATGAAGGTTGATAGTATTTACAATAATATAAAGGGGACAGTTGCAAGTAGCACCACTAGCGTTGGCATAAGTAATGAAAATATGGCATTTGTCTCCCCGAATGAGGATTCTCTGTTTACCGAGACACTTAAGAGTAACAATGAACTCTTAAATAAACAAAGTATAAATCAGCCATTGGTTAGTGAAAAGAAGAGTGAGAACACTGAATCTTCCTTGGATAACAGGAAATGTGGAGAGCTGATTAAGATAGTATCTAAGGAAATAAATATAGTTTCAGCATCTGCTAGTGAAAATGATAAAAGTAAAGGTGAGATTATCTCTACAAGTGGGGCCAAATTGTGCTCTATTTCAGCACATTCTGCCAAACACAATGAGCCAACATTACCACTTGTTGAAAGAACAGTTGAAAACTTAGAGGAGTTCAGAGGTCTGCTAACATCTGAAGATTTCAGTTTTCCTGCACCAAGTACAACTGTCAAATATATGAATCAAGATAGAGATGTTATGAAATCTAATAAAATTTCTACTAGTATTTTAGAAGAATTTGAAACTCCAATGCCAATCGTAACAGTGAAAGATACTGACACTATACTTGCTACTAACAGAGTTGTAGAGAAAACCAACAGCATGGAGATAAATGCCATTCATATGCCCAGTGTATTCACTGGAGGAAGTGATGAAATCCAGGTGGTTGGTAATAAAGAGGGAAGGGATGAATGTGCTACAATTTCCACAAGTATAATTGAAGACACAGAAACTCCTGTTTCAGAGGAAGGCACTGAAGACATTGCTCAATGCTTTGATCTAAGACTGGCGCAAACTACTGATACCACCACAATCTCAACAAGTTCAGTAGAACATTTTGAATTTTCTGCTGAGAAACAAATTAATCAGATCTCTGTAACAGAAGGAAAATTGAATTTTGCTCAGCTTGCAACTGAGATATGTAACAGAGTTACACATAGTGTAGTTGTACCAATAGAAACAAAACACAGAAGTAAAAATACAGTGGTCTCCCCAAAAGTAGAAAAGTACAAGACTGTTCAAGGAGCTACAAGCCAAGAATCTGAATTAGATGAAAGTGACATGCATTTACTTACAAAAGTAGGAATATGTCATGGCCTTGAGTTCAGTATTATTAATAGCAGATCTGATCAGTTGTTTATTGCTTCAACTACAGAGGATCTTGCAAAGAATCCTGACAGAACAGGAGCTGCTGCCTCAGAAGAAATTCCATGTACATTGACAAGCACAGAATTGGAAGAGAAAACCAGTATGTGCCCTGAAGAATTAGATCCCACTATGTTGACAGATTTAAAAAACAGTAAGAATTTAGTTGAGTTACCTAATGATGGTCAAGGGATCCAGGGTGAGGAAGAAAGTAGAGAACCTTCAGTTATATCCAGGACTAATGGCAATAGTGAAAGCATAGAAATTTCCACAAGTACAATGGAACTTGTTAATGTAGTTGAACTTCCCTGTGCAGAAATAAGTTTTGATTCCTGTGTCTGTCGTGGCCTATCTGCTGAAACAAATATGGCTGGAAATAAATCCAAAGAAGATGGGAAATATATTGAGGTTCTGTCAAAACCTGCTGGTCTACTAGAAAAAAAATTATGGAATGAGAAGATAGACTTTATTATTCACCAACCAGTTTTAAAAGCTGAAGTTACTGAAGGAAAGGATGTCTCCAACTCCAGTTCATTACCATTTGAATTAGGAGGAAATTCTGAGAATGCTCAATGTAGCAAGGCTGATGTAAATGCTAAAGTACCAGATGCTCTTGTTCATGGAAATATAGAAAACGATCATGGTAAGAATGAAATAGAAGAGACTATCTGTGTTCTCTGAGTTTGCTTGCTTGCTTGCAGATGTTTCATTTTCAACTAGTTAATACCATCACTGCAAATGAGTATGGAGTTTGCTCCCTGTTTATATACAGTACATGCCCAGCATATAATGTTCCTTGGATTAGAGCATTGTTTTGTGCTTGATTGTTTGCTTGGTGTTAACTCCTGCTTATCTGACTGTTAGAAAGGATGTGTTCCAGTCTTTCATCTCTTTTGAATGGTTTGTGAATATGGTTTATTTGTATGTATCTCATCTTCCAAAAATTCCCTAGTATTTATGGGTTTGTTTGTTTGTTTGTTTATTAGATTTATATTGCCGCCTATTTGCCCATAGCCACTCAAGGCGGCTTACAGAATATAACCTTAGCTTGATCTAAGGGGCTCATGGTTTTCCAGTTGAAACTATTATTAATTTTGTCCATGTGCTGTGAATTTTCAGCATGTCTTCTGATTGCAAGTTTGTGTTCATTGAAGTGTTCTGCTAGTCTTCTACCTGTCTGTCCTACATAGTTGTTAGTCCTTACACGACATATTGTAGATGACTCCTGTTTTTTTTCCTTCTATGATAGCACTTATCCTTGTTGGTTCTGTACTGGGTTGAGCCATTTTTGGAGTAGCATAATAGGTTTAATCACTGTAGTGGGTTAATAACACTTGATCTTTGATAAAAGGGTAACACTACCATTTATTGAAAATTTCAGAACAGCCAAAGGTCTACTACAACCACACAGCATTACTGAGGTACATAAACCAACAAAGTCCTTCCAAAACATCTTAAGTAAACTAAGCCCAAAAAGAAAAATCAGAAATCATCTACAACATAAAGAATAAGCTCTTTAATGGCCACTATGTAGAACAGGGATATCAAAGTCAAGGCCCATGGGGTGCTTAAATCTGGCCCATGGGGCCAGCCTGGAAATAACAAAGGACTGACACTCGGTGTCTCTGGCAGCCAAAATGGGGCACAGTGGGGCCATGTGCCCCCCCACCGCACCCTGTTTTCTTCCTGGTTGGCCTCCTGCAGCACTCTGCTGGCCAAAATGGGGTACAGGAGGACCCTCTCCTTGGATATGCTATCAAGCTTGGTGAAGCATAGCAAAGATGGCAGAGCTGACAGCAAATAACCAAGCTCAGAAAACACCAGGACTTGGTAATAATGGTAAGATTCTGAGGATTTTAATCTAATGCATACAAAACCTAATGATTTGAATTAAAAAATTTTTAATATAGTTTGGAATCAATTAACAAACTATCTCAAGTTTCATCATGTTATGAAAGAAAGCTATAATAAGGGTTCCTCAGTACTCCCTGAGCTTGGTTGTTTTCTTGCAGACATTTCATTACCCAAATTAGGTAACATCATCTGTGCTAGTAGGGAGTGGGGTTTGCTCTCATTTATATTCTAGTAATTTGCCCTGTCAGAGTTGCTGGGCATGGTCTTGGTAGTCCTTTGGTTGGCTGTTTACTGTTAGCTTGTTTGGGAGTTCCTTAATTGGGTATTGTTTGCTTCTTGTTGGACTAATGTTAATCTTAGCATTAATCTTGTCACCTGGGTGTTGGTTGCTGGTGAGGTGGTGGTCTGGTCTTTTAATTCCCTTGTTGATTGTCTCTTTTGAATGGTATATAGATGTTGCTTACATCTTTGTGCCTATTGATGGTCAGTTTGTCAGAGTGTCATGTTTCCGGGAATTCTCTAGTGTTTTGGACTTGATCTAGGATGGTCTAGGTTTCCTAGCTGAAACTATGGTTAAGTCTATCCACGTGTTGTGAAATTAAGGAATTTTCATCATGTCTTCTGACTGCTAGTTGATGCTCATGGATGTGTTCTGCTAGTCTTCTGCCTTTTGTCCTATGTACAGGATGTTGCAGTCCTTAAACTCCTGCTTTCTGCTGGGTCTTTTGGTTTACTTAGGACAGTGATGGTTAACCTTTTTGGTGCCGAATGCCCAAAGCACGCACGCGCACGCATGAATGGACGTGCGTGTGCCACAACCCCCAAAATGCAATGTGAGTGCCCCCTGTGCATGCGCCCTGCGCATGCATGCACGTTCCCTGTGCATGCGGCCCCCCCCCCTGCGCATGCACCCTGGGCCCCTGTTTTGGCTTCCAGGTTGGTGCAGGAGGCTTTTCAGGGCCAAAATAGGGTGGGGGGGAGGTAGCTAGGACTCGGGGGTAGAAACTGCAAAGATCGGAGAAGGCACGGAAGGCAGGAGGCAGCTAGGACTCGATGAGGGAGAAACTGTGGAGATCGCGTCCTAGCTTTCTCCTGCATTCCTGCCTTCTCCAATCTTTGCAGTGTCTCCCCCATCAAATCCTAGCTGCCTCCTGCCTTCTCAGATCTCCAAAGTTTCTCCCCCCACTGAGCGCCTCCTGCCTTCCGTGCCTCCTCCGATCTTTGCAGTTTCTCCCCCCCAATCACGTCCTAGCTTTCTCCTGCTTTCCTGCCACGGAGAGGCAGCTGCAGAGGGTGGAACCTGCAGAGATCGGGGAAGGCTCTGCCCCCATGGAGCTGGGCTGGGGCGACGGCTGGCATGCCCGCAAAAAGGGCTCTACGTGCCATCTGTGGCACGCGTGCACATAGGTTTGCTATCACAGATTTAGGATGTTTTTGAGGGCTTTATTGGGTTGAGTGATCAGGCACTTTTTGATGAAGTTGCATGGATATCCATTTTGTTGGAAGATGTATAGATGATCTGTTTCCTTTTTCTAATGTTCAGTCTTGCTGCAGCATATTTGTGCTCATTTAAATAGTATTCTTACACAGCTACTCTTGTGAGAGGTTGGGTTAATATATTAATAGTGGAACACTTGGTTGGTGTGGGTGGTTTTTCAATAAACTTGTATTTCTATATTTGCCATTGCTAGCTCCGAAAAAGCGTAGAGGGGCCAGGTAAGGGGACTGAGCCTCACCTGCCCAGCCTCTGTAGCATGGAAGTCTGGCTTGGGAGGGGAAAGGGAAGAGGCAGGTGGGCAGCTATGTCATTGAATGGGCGGAACAGCTCTTTTGCCATCTCATCCAACTGTTGATGGGGGCAGAGCTGGGGGATGATGTAGGATGGCATGGCGCGATCCCCGCCCAACCTTGCCTGGTCTGTTCATCATCCGACTGCAGAGCCTGATGCTGGTGGCATGAGGCGGCAGCTGGAGCGACCCCTTCCCATTTCACCTGGTGGTGGAAGCCAGTAGGGCACCTCCTGCCACCACTCCTATGCCATGGCTGGGACTTGTGCCACTGCCTCACCCCATCAGCATCACGCTTCTGCAGGCCCCACCGCCCCAACAGTATCCTTCACCACCCGTCTGGATGGGGCCCGCACTGATTCGGGCAGCATTGTGGGGCTGGAGGGGGATTGCAACTGCAGGAGGGATGGAAGGGCCCCACGGAAGGCAGCAGACTCCTTCCTGTTGGGGAAGGCCGGGCAAAGCCGGCTGGCGCTCTGCAGGGCTGGCTGCGTATGTGCCCAGCACTGCGCTCCACCCCAGAAGCGGGATCGAAACTTTGGCTTCTCTCTGGAAAGGTGAAGTGACCTGGCGGGCAGAAGGGTTTGACTGTCAGGGTTCCAAGTAACACCCCCAACTCCAAGGCTTGAAATTCCTCAAAGCTACATTTTATTAGAGATGTCATATTGGCACATCTGGGAAAACCTGAATCTGAAAGTTTCCAGGTTTTCCCCACCCAAAGAAAAGTTCAAGTCCCTGCCCAAAACTCCATCACATGACCCAATCAAACATCGTTCCAACTGGAGATGCCTCCCAGTTCCAGTTTCCAGGTGCAGAGCAAGTTGTCCTTGACTTCTTGAGAAAGAAGAAATGTTATTATGACTATATATCACCCATGTTCCATACAATCCCCCCTCCCAGTTTCCCACAGTAGTAAACATGGCAGGTCTGAAGGCCTAATACAGAAGCTGGCTTCCAGGCCAGACCAAATCTTTGGGATTGAAACTTTGGCTTCTCTCCAGAAGGGTGAAGCGGGCAGAAGGGTGTGACTTTTCGCCCTGCTCTTTCTGCCTTTCTGTTTTCTTTTTTCTGAATGGACCTTTTTCCACATCCCGTCTGCTTTGTCTTTTGCTTTGTCTTTTTCACACAGGAGGCGGCCAGCCCCACCCCCTTCTTGGCTCATGGTCACGGCACCAGCCTGCCGGACACGCTGCACAGTTCCCTGTGTGGGAAAAAAAGACATTCCTCAAAAATAAGGCCTTGTGCTTATTTTGGGGCTCAAAAGAAAATAAGACCAGGTCTTATTTTCGGAGAAACACAGTAGAAGGAATAGATGTTGTTTAAAATGACAAAAAGGAGCAGAATGTGAATAAATTGATTCTGTTCATATATTACACCATCACAAGCTGTTTCATTCAATAAGAGAATTAGAGTGAAAAACCTTGGCAAAATAGGAGTAATTAAACTGATCTTAGAATTAGGAAAAATAAGGTAGAAATAATATGTGATAATATGATTTATAAAAAGGAAATGGAATATTAGTAAAAAGCCTAATATTTAACACAGTTGAGATGAAAGAATTGAAAATTGTGAAAATAGATAATAAAGCAATTGTAAGGACTTGCCTCTCCTCTCCTTTCAAGAAAGCAGAAGTCTTGAAAGAAGCATTATTTCAAAAGGAAACTTTGATTGAGAGAAACTGATAGCAAAGAAAGGAAGGTAGGATCTGAAATTTCCACTTAGAACCATTAGATTAAACGTTGCAGAAGAACCTTTCCCCTATGCCCAGTCCGAGGCAGGCCAATTCACAGGTGTGAAGTTGTTGTGAGAACTCGAGCTGAGATGGTGATAAGATGTTCTCAGGCGCCACTCATGGCCCCAGGCCAATTCCTCCCACTCCCATTCCCAAGCAGGTACATCAAAGTGAGAGGAAGATCAGAAACAGGAAAGAGGTTGTAAAGGAACATCCAGGGAATGGCCCGATAGGGATGTACGGGACTTCACAGCAATATAATATGTTGAAAAATGGAAAAAAGTTACATATTTAGATTTCAGCTGTGATAAAATGATTCTGCTGCAGTTTATCTTTTGGACAAATGTATTAATAACTGAACAAAATAGAAAGATGGTTTTGTTTTTACTCTAGAACTTCATATTTCAAAAGTTCTATTTGGAATCACATTACCTCAGCAGAACCAAAACCTAGAACATCTGAGTTGTTCAGGTCTCAGGTGAAACAAAATATGGAGTGGGCAAGTCAGGGCTGGTGGGTTTTTGCATTCCTTAAGCCAGGGCAGTCTATCCTTTTGGCCAGCCTGGATCTAAAGTTCTAGCTGTCAGTTCATCTCGAAGAAATATGGAAGAAAAGAAAATAAATATGTTCTCGAAGAAATATGGAAGTGCCCACAGTTTGCAATTTTATGTGGGAAGAAAAGGCTTTTTTTCTTTTTCCTGGTTGTGAAGGAATATAGACCTGCTTTAGGAATGGAAAGAATGAATTAACTATTAAGTGGGGAATTGTAGAAAGGATGACTTAGTCTTAAGAAAAAGGACACCAAAGAGGACATCCAACACAAACACACATACACGAGCACAGAAAAATCTAATGAAATAAGGAATTATTCAACTAGATTCAACAAGTGACAGCTGTACTGTGACTTTATAGGCTACGATAAATGTCCAAGAAATTCTATGAAAATCCCTTGTCAAACATAGCTGGCTTGGCCCATACTCAAGGCTATAGTCTGCAAAACCTGGAAGGAATCAGAGACTATTTCCAGACTTTACGGACCACCTTATATATTACATTGCCAAAAAACTTTATAGACCATAGGTACTTGAAAATAAAAATTAACTATCTTTATGTCATGATAAATTGTGTTAGCCACCCTCAAACAACCTCATGAATAATGCAGGAAATAATTCTTCCTGAAAGAAAGTTTATTTCTTGCCACAGATGACTTAAATGGATCTGTGTTTCTGGACATACTGTAGGTAGCAATTCATGTTTTCTGAAACAAATCATCCCATAGGTAAAGGTAGTATTGATTATTACTTCTTCTTTTCTAGGTCTCAACAATTAGGCCAATCAAGTATAAATTCGAAGTATTACTATTTGACTAGGGTGATGGGATTTTAGTCTAACAAATTAATAGGAACTTGTTTATGTAAGGCTGCTTCAGAATAGACTTTCACTGTATAGTATGAGGGATGCCAACAAAGCATGTTCTGTTTTCTTGTTGCATGAAAGGCATTATAGAATAGGCATTTTCTGTACAAAAGAGGAAATAGAAGAGGCTGAGAAGACTTGTGGGGGAACAGGGTAAGACCATTGGGATATGTGGGAGCTATTGTGGAGAGAGAAAAAAACAGATGAATCTCCATATCTTCAGTTGCCTTGGGTTCGCTGCACTCTTCTTCCTCTTAATCCAATCCATTTCTGCCTAAACAGCTAATTTCCTTCCAGGCAGGAACCAAATCAACAGAAACACCTATGTTTCTGTTCAGGCACAGGCTTTCAAAAATATATATTCCTGCACAACTGTACTAATAAAGGTGAAATTAATTTTATTGATAGTATTTCATTCTAACAAAACAACAAATGTATTAATATAATTTGATAGTTATAAATAATACTTGTAAAAATTAATCTTACTTTGCCACTCCAAAAGTTATTTTATTAATAGTAATATGCATTTAAAATATTATAAGCAAATTCATAATGAACTTCAAAAACTGAAAAGAAATGAAAAAAATGAAAAGAGGTATTGCCTGTCTCTGCCATAATACATGTTTCATAATCTAATTTTCTCCATTATAAATTTAGCTTTCCTATTAAATTTTGAATATTTATTAAATATAATAAATATTTAAATTATTAAATTTAAGCAAACTATAATATTCTAATTAAAAATAGTGACACACAATAACATTCTATTACAAATGAAGGTGAATATACAGGATAATGTTGCAGGATCTAATCTAGGTTGATCTTTCGAGCTTTTGGACTCATGCTGGAGCCCATCCTCAGGGAAGTTCTCTCCAGTAGAGTGTGTCTTTGGGCTATTCTGTGTGTGGTATTTATATGGTGCCTGTTTTGTGTGGCTTTTTAGCCACACCCAGATTGGATCCTGCAGAATATATTTGAATTTTAGATTGTTATCTCTGGAACCAAACCCCCTACTCCTGTTTCCAAATAAAATTTCAAAAAACAATTAATTTACTAAAATTGGCTTTATTCAGTCATCTGTATAGGGTAAAGTTGCCAGATAAGATTATAACCTATTGTAATTGTATTATAATTGCTTAAATTATTTTCATTAGACAGTAAAGTGGTGCGTCCATTTGTGACTAACAGTCTGGAACCAAGGCTGGAGACAGCAACCGACAAGGTACAATGGTGTTTTGAAATGATTAGTTGTTTAAAGTTGTTTGTACTTAATTTAGAAGAAAACAAATATTTGAAATTAAGACTATTCAAGAAACATTGGACTGTAACGTGACAAAATGTTCCATGAGCAGATTCTTGTTGGGGGAGTCTGCCCACGCCGATATTACTGCACCTAATTTGAAATATAGTCTCCATACCTAGTTGCTTGCCAACATATGGAAAGTAGCACAAAACAGTTGCAGTCCAGTAACAGCTATAGAACATAGATGCTTATAAAAAAAAAACCCTAAACAACCTATGACCATTGAATTATCATTTTAGAGATATTTCCTTTCCTGAACAGAAACTGAATGACCAAGAGCAAAAAGTAATGGGAGTGGGAGTAACTTCATGCCAGCTTAACCATGGCTGACTGATCTACTCAGCCTCCAGAGGGCCATGATCTAGATGATCTCCAATGGACAAAGGAAGGACTGGTCTGCCCAGCCTCCAGAAGATTAGGGCAGACCCAGTATACTGAACCTCTGGGCAGTGGCACGACAGCATTTAAGTGACCACAAATTTGCCAAATTTCAGTCCTATTGGTTTCTGTGGTCCCCAATTTATTAGTCATTCCATTAGTTAACTCATTTGATTCAAAATTTGTTGCCTTGTGGTGTATTTTTTTTGTCCAGCTAAAGGTTACAGACAAAAGAGTTTTAGTAGTACAGCATATAGATGTATATGCTTCATGTATGTAGCTGCACATTGTTTGAAGTATTCCAGCTTCTAATTCATTTGTTTAATTGAAATATATTTCTTGTGCAGCATAGTCACAGTACCTTCTCATTTGACTTCCATTCACTCTGTTGGAAGCTCTGTGTTTAGCTTTACACACACACAATTCCAGATAAGGCAAATCATGCAGAAGATGTATCTAACTCTTGCTTTCTCCCACATTGATTTTTTAAAGGTTTGAAAACTCCCTTGGGGTTTAAGAGAGTTGGCAAGAGTGCATTTTCTATGTCACCATGCTTCCTGCCCTTGCTTTAGAGACAAGACAACAGTATATCATTGTTGTTATTCTTCTGCAGTTTACTCAGCAGCATGCTTGCTTTCAAATAGAGGTATATTAGGCTTTGATACTGTTAAAGTTGAAAGATATTTTTTTCTCTTTTCTTCATAACAGCTCCTGTGTACAAATCCAGAAAAGGAACTTCACTATGAAGAGAAACAGCCCGAAGAGGTTCTCAAAAGTAAATTCATGTTTTAATGACAGTAATTTTTATGACAAATCATAATTTGGTGTCACAATCAATGAAACTACAGTATCTACATTTAACATAGGACTGTATATCCAGTCACTTGAAGTGTCTTGAGGTATTAAAAATGAAGCCTCAAAACCTAGTCCCTCCATTGCATTTCTAGCAGATTTCAGTTGAACTGAAGTAAGGGACTTGAGAACAGTGGATCTCTTCTTCCCTGGAAGTCTCAAACAGAGCAGGATGGCCACTGGTTGATAGTGATGTAATTAATTATTTCCCTTAGGAAGAGGTGAACTATTTTTTTTTTATTTAAAAAGTTTTAACAATCATTACAACAATTTCCCCCCAATGCATTTCTACCAATGCATTATACAACCTTTTAATGTGCATTTGACTTTGATCTCTAATCTGTTTTACCAAATTCTCCTCATTTTGCAGAAAACCAATTTTCTGATCTTCTCTCCATCTAGCTTGCAACTGTACATATTGAAACCATGTTCGAATTGTCCTTTCTTCTCTTAGTTGATTCAAAGATTTTAATTGTAGTATACCTCTTTCCTTGTTAAGAAGCTCTTTATATGTAATCACATCCTGCCTTTGCTCTACACTTATATTCTCTATCGCGTGTCTGGGTATTGCCCACAATGGTAACTTCTCGTTTAGTTTATACTTATACTTTTTCCAGACACTCAATAGAGCATTCCTTAATATATGACTTTTAAAAGTCTTGTCCACTTTCTTATCATATAATAAATAAGCATGCCACCCGTAAACCAAATCATATCCCTCAATATTCAATATTCTTTCTTCTGTTAAATTCATCCAATCACTCATTGCTGATAGGACAGCTGCCTCATAATATAGTCTTAAGTTAGGCATTTTGAGACCTCCTCTTTCACGTATATCCTGCATTATTTTTTGTTTTATTCTCAGTCTCTTCCCTGCCCAAACAAAATTATACCCTTCTGCCATATTTTCAAATTCTCATCTTTTTTTAAGTATTGGTATCATTTGAAAAAGAAACAAAAACTTAGGCAAAACATTCATTTTTACTGCTGCTATTCTTCCTAACAAGGATAACTGTAATTTTTTCCAGTTTTCCATCTCTCTCTGTATTTTTTGCCACAACGGATCATAATTATACTTAAATAATTTCGCATTTGATGTCATAATATAGACCCCTAAATACTTAACTTTTTTTACAATTTCAAATCCTGTTAGTCTTTCTAATTCTTCTTTTTGATTTATAGTCATATTTTTAGTTATTATCTTCATTTTCCCTGCATTTATTTTAAATCCAGATACTTGTCCATATTGATTAATTATATCCATTAGACCTACAACCAACTGTAATGGTTGGGTTAAAGTAACAACCAAGTCGTCTGTGAATGCTCGTAATCTATAGTCATACTGCCTAATCTTAATTCCACTTATTTTGTCCGACCCACATATCTTACTTAACAAAAATTCCAAAGTCAAGATAAACAATAATGGAGACAAAGGGCATCCTTGTCTTGTTCCTTTTTCTATATTAAAAGTATCTGTTAAACTACCATTAATTATTATTTGCGCTATTTGTTTCTGATATATTGCCTTAATAGATTTTGTGAAATGTTCTCCAAACTGCATCTTTTCTATTATTTTCAATAAAAATTGCCAATTCAATCGATCAAATGCTTTCTCCGCATCAAGAAATATCAGCACCGCAGGGATGTGGTTGTTCTTCCCCAAATACTCCAATAGGTTAACAACTTGCCTTACATTACTCTTCATTTGTCTGCCATTTATGAAACCAGTTTGATCATTATGAATCATTTGTTGCATGACTGTCATTAACCTATTTGCTAATATTTTAGCAAAAATCTTGTAATCTGTATTTAAGAGTGATATGGGCCTCTAATTTTTTGGCTGGGTGTGGTCTTGCTCCTCCTTTGGAATCAGAGAAATATAAGCTGTCCTCCAAGATGGGGGTACATCTCCTTCAGATTGTATATTAGTAAATAATTCTTTGAGTGGTCCCACCATTTCTAACTGCAAATGTTTATAATAAGCAGCTGTCAAGCCATCCGTCCCAGGAGCTTTACCCACTTTCAACTGCTTAATTGCAAACATAATCTCCTCAGTGGTTATTGGTTGATTTAAACCCTCCCTTTGCTCTTTTGTAATTGTAGGAATATTCTCTTTCTGTAAATATCTATCTATATCTGTACCTTGAATTTTATCACTAGCATACAAGCTCGTATAAAATTTTAAAAATGCTTTTTTAATCATATTTTGCTCTTTACCTTTATATTCTATTTTCTCTATAGTCCGTGACTTTTGTTTTTTCCTTAACAAATATGCTAACCACCTCCCTGGTTTATTAGCCCTTAAAACCTACTTCTTTCAGTTAGCCGGGCTGTCCTGATTTTATGATGGGTTTTTAAAATTTGAAATTGGTTTTAAATTGAAATGTTTTAAATTATGGGCCAAATTATTTAATTATTTTAAATCTATTTTAACTTTTGTGTATAAAGTGTTTTACTTGGCTGTTCACCGCCCTGAGTCTGAAAGGAGAAGGGCGGTATAAAAATCTGAAAAATAAATAAATAAATTAGCATTACAAAAAATATTATGTTTAGCATATTGCAAATTAGTTGCGACCTGATCTGCCATTAACATATTAAATTGCCCTCGCAATAAATTAATTGCCTCTTTTATTTTTTTATCTGCTGGATTCAATATCAAAGCTTGTTCTTTTTTTCTAATTTCCTCTTCTACATCCTTCCTTTTTTTTTTCTGTTTGCGTCTATATTTATTATTCAAATATATCAAAATGCCTCTTATATATGCTTTACTTGCATCCCAAACCATTTCCATAGATGTACCCTTATGCATATTTATGATAAAGAATTCTTTCATAAATTTTTTACATTCTTTTACATTTTCCTCATATTTAAACAGATTTTCATTTAACCTCTAAGACCTCTTAGATCCCCTTCCATACTCTAATTCCATCCAAACGGGACTATGATCCGTTAAAACTCTTGGACAAATCTTGGTCTTCTTCACCCTGGAAAAGAGATCATTTATAATTAATATAAAATCAATCCTGGAGAAAGATTGATGTTTATCAGAAAAAAAGGTAAAGTCTTTTTCTTTTTCTTTTTTTTTTTAATTTGATTTTTATTATAACATATAGTGATACATTCAATACATTTTTGGTTCATTGGTGCAAATATATACATATATACATCTACATGCATTATTACTTGTCTTTTATCTGATATTGTTTCTTAAAGCTAAATTTAATTTCAAAACATTTAAAGATAATAGTGCTCAAATCTCTAAGACTAAATGTAATACTGTTCATTTCTCCATGGATTTTGTTGATTAATTAATACTTAATCTCTATACTCTATTTCCTTCTTTATTTCTTTTCCCCATCCATTCGTACTACATGTCCCACACGCTATAAAATTCCGAATCTTCTCTGTCATTAATTTCTGAAGTCAATTTGTTCATTTCGGCGCACTCCAGTATTTTCCCAATAACATGTTCTTGAGGTGGTATTTGTTTTTCTTTCCAATACTGGGCAAAGGAAATTCTAGCGGCTGTCAGAATATGTATAATTAAGTACTTTTTCTTTTTTGCATATTCAGTTTTCAAAATTCCCAGGAGAAAGGCTTTTGGTTCGAAATCAAAATTTTCTTTTATTATTTCTCTAATTCACATCCATATCATCCTCCAGAATTTTTGTGCCTGATTACAAGTCCATCAGCAGTGATAGAAAGTACCCTGCTGATGGTCACATTTCCAACATTTAGGGCTCGAATTGGGGTAGATCTTCGCTATCCTAGCTGGGGCCATATGCCATCTATAAAACAGCTTGAATTGGTTTTCCTTGTAAGCCGTCGCCTTTGTCATTTTAAGATTATTATTCCATATTGAATCCCATTCGTTCAGATTTATATTCTGTCTGATATTTTTGGCCCATGCTAACATCAGTTCTTTAACTACTTCCTCTTCCATATTGTACTCCAATAAGTAATTATATAATTTAGCTAGAATTTTGTCATCCGTACCCATCCATATCTTGTCAAATCCATTTATGCTTGTCTCTATGCCAAATTCCTCCTTATCTTTTTTATATCTGGATTTAATTTGGTTATATGGCCACCAGTCTGTAGAAGTACCTTGTTCCATCAATTCTTCCCTTGTTTTAAGATTCCCTCCCCCATCTAATAATTCATTGTATCTGACCGTTTTACCCATTTCTAATACATTTGGATATATTATAGCCTCCATGGTGGAAAGCCATCTCGGAATTTTCCTATAGTGCTTCTGTCTCATCTCTCCCCATATTTGTATAAGATCTCCCTTATTTTATGCCTATGGAAATAAGTTTTCATCTTCTTCCCAGTATCCCAGAGATATGCATGCCAGCCCTTCTGGAGATCATGCCCTTCTAAAGTTAACAGTCTTTTATTTCTCAGGGTTGTCCAATCTTTCAGCCATACTGGTTTGCAGCTTTTTGATATAACTCCCATTTAGGTAATCCGAAACCCCCTCTTTCCTTCTTGTCCTGTAAATTCCTAATTGCTATTCTTGGTTTCTTTCCCTCCCAAATAAATTTTCTGATGATGATATTGAGCTCCAAAAAATTTTTTTTATCTAATTTAACAGGGACCGTTTGGAATAGATATAATAACTTGGGTAATATGCTCATTTTTATTGCTGCAATTCTACCTAATAATGATATCTGTAGTCTTTCCCACTTTTCTAGATCCTGTTTAATATTTCTAATCAATGGTAAATAATTATCCTCTCTGAGGGCCGAGCACCTTGATGAAATCCACACCCCCAGGTATTTTACCTTCTTGGCGGTTTGGATCTCCATTGATTCTTCCAGTGCTTTTTTTCTTACCTCTGTCATATTTTTTGTTAATAATTTAGTTTGGGATTTATTTAATTTAAGGCCTGCTACCTCTCCGTAATTGCCCAATTCTTCC